CTCAGATGGTGGGACCAGGTTGTACCAGAACAACCGCCACACCTCCACATTGACACATTCATTCTTATGGGCTACCACTTCTTTACAGATCTGCACATTTCACCCTCTTCCTTTTTTTCTTCTTTTAATTGTTGCTGATACAGGACCTCACTACACAGTTCGGACTTGAAGTGATGCTCTTGTCTCAGCCTCTGTAGTACTGGGATTACAGGGGTGCATCACCACACTCAGTTTTGGGGCCATCACAGCAGGCCTGTTTTTGGGGCTGGCATGACATGTACTGGTGATCAAACTCAGTTCCTTGCAATTTCCCCAGCCTCTTCCCTTTTCTGGAGTTCTACTAGAGGCCAAAAATTGGCCACGACCCCTAAGAATCATTGTCCTTTCAAACACTTGGAAATATGAACCTATCTGTTTCACACATTCTAATTATTCCCGATATTGTTCATTCAATGTTTCCATCATTTTTCTATTCTCTTCTATTTATCTATGTCTTCTTTCGATGTGCTGAGCAGTTCTTGCATGACTGTTGTCACTTCTTTTTTGATCTGATTTATTCTATAGCCTGATGGACTTGTTTAATTCAGATGCTATCATTTCAGAAGTTGAGGTATGTGACTTCCAAGTTCTTCTAGGTCCTTATCTCCTGGACTTGTTCTGAGTGGGCTGGAGGTCTGAGATTGCCTTTTGCTCCTTCGTTTTGGCATTTTTGAAGCTCCCAATAATCACCCAGACTCAGCAGTGGTGGTTGAGGGGTGGAGCATGGGTCAGTAAGGTTCTCATGACAGCGGGTAGGTAGAGTAAGACTCACCAAGCCTCCAGCGACTGGTGAAGGGTGGTGGGCAGCCAAAATTCAGCAAAGCTTCTGCACAGCTGGTGGCTGAACTCACCAGGTCCTGGCCTATGTTCTAAGTGGGTGGATTTCACTCTAGCAGGACCTCCATAATTCTGTGCTGGTGCACACCGGATGGACTCACTAGGTCCCTGTAGCTGCCCAGTGTTCACTTGCATTCTCAGATGGTGGGACAGTGTGCCAGCAGATCCACTGTGCTTCTGCGCCAATGGAGCTAAGACACTTTAATTGTTGCTGGTCTGAAGGATGGGAAGCTGTATTTTAATATATAACTGTATTTGGTATTGCCCTCATGGGCATTAATGAGAGCAGGTACCTTCTCTTAATCTCTTAATGTTTATTGGATATGTTTTCTCTCCCTCCCTCTCGCCTTCTCTCTTTTTTCCTTTCCTCTTCTTCATCCTGAGGACTCAATCCAGAGCATTGTTCACAATAGCAAGCATTCAGCACTGAACTAATTCCCAATCACTGTTGACACAGGTCTCCTATGTTGTGCAGACTGGCCTAAAACTTACAACTGTTTTGCCTAAGCCTTTGGAGTACCTAGATTACATGTGTGTACTGCCTTACCTGATTGTTTTTTCTTTTAAGATACAAGAGTGAAGTTTTCAGTAGTGTGCAATGTTGAAGAGAAGATAAAAAGATAAGGAACCCAGGGGCTG